GGAAGGTGACAGCAGCAGAATGCGGGGTTACAAACATATAAACACAAAGTGTGTTAGTCATTGGGTTGGGGGCTCTCGACCTCCTCTGGGTAGCATTCAAAGATGTCTTCATGTTCTACCTTCATTACTGATGTCGCTTCTGAAATTGGACAAGGATTTTAGTTAGCGATTGTAGTTAACTTTGACATCTACCGGCACATTACAAGTCCTTGACCATGAGCCGTGATCTCGTATTGCCAATGCTGGTGTGGCGATCCAGGGAAGACGATGTGCTGCAACCCTTTTGGTACCTAGTGGTCGTTCCACCTAAAGGAAGAATAGGGTTGAGGTAATACCAGGTCCCCTATTGGTGCACTGCTGATGATGACCATAACACAAATCAGAAGGTATATGCACTAATAAAAGTTTGTACTGTGGTTGGCAGTGGTGGGTTGCGAAATGAAATGGGAGCAAGTCAAGAGAGGAACTTGTCGTCTGTGACGACGGACGGCGGGAACGGGTTTTCTCCTCCGTATGACTGACTCCGTATGACGTGTTGTATAATTGTCCGTGGACTTGTGGAGAGTGGTTGACTTCCTGCTCCCTGGGCGCGCGCCAGTCTCTGTGCACTGACTGTTCGGTTTCCCTATATGTAGGTCCGTTTGCGTGTACGTGGGCGCGTCAGCACATGAGTAGTTACTACACTCACTAGACAGCACAGACAATTGATGTCCGATGAGTCACCTTAATGTGATGGTTTGTGGGTATGAAAAAGGTCAAGTCTCGTGGTACAGTGAGCGACTGTCAGGTGAACAGTCAAGTACGTGAGTGATTGGGTAGCTACACGCTCAAGCCTATACAGAAACATTCGAGATGTCGATGTTGAGTTCGAATCGCAGACATCCCGGTCGGTGATTTTACGCCTTAACCACTGACTAACTCGGAGGCTGCGACCGGAGACCGAGCTGTACGTCTAAAAGTCCATATTTCTACCTGACTCCGGTGTGGCATTGAACTATGGGCCACGTGCTTATGCACTTCGACATTCGAGCAGATCTCATGCGCACTACGTGATGTGGATCCTTGGTGTTCAGTTGAATGAGTGGGTATCGGACACGGTAGTCCTCTAACCGGTACGTCCTAGTGAATGGTTACTACGACCGTAATCACCGGGGACATGTTTGACCAATTAAGGGGAATGGGATTCCGAAGCAACACCTATGCAGTTAGCTGATCACGAAGGAGAACATTGAAAGTGAAATATGGTACGTTAAACAAAAGTCTAAAATCTGATGACATTAATCTCGTAAAATGGGAAGCGGGAGCACAAAACAGGGTGGCATAGGTGTTTTGTCTGTGGGAGCTAGTTGGATGACTTAAGCGCCTGATGGAATTTATTCTATCGCACTGAAAGTCTAGTCACTTGAATGGGGAAAAACCTCAAGGAATACAAAAGACACCGGAAGAAGATAGGCTATATTGCAAATGAAACAATGGAAGAAAGCGCTGCAGCTCAGTAGGCTACAACAGAGAGAAAACGAAATCTTGGTGAAATATTACAAAGGATAGAATCGTCCGTTAGGACCTGGTTGTCCTAATACCTCCCTTCTCAAAATGTGTGTAGGTTTTCAGATTTTGAATCACCTGCATTGGTGTAAATGGTTTTGGGTTACGACGGGACCACCGTCTTGGTGTGCATATGGATTCGACTGGGAGGTTGTCTGTTTGTGCAAGAGGCACATGTGTAGGCGGTAACTCAAGGGAATCTAACAGTGTGTTCAGGGGAATTGAGTTATCCGATGTAGCCGGTGCAGCGTGATCAGCGTGAAGTTGGTTTGCGTGACAGACCCGTGCGACAGACTGTACGTCACCTTCGTATATGACGTTGCCCACGCGACGCTTGATGTAACCAAGAGTCAATTTCTCTCCACCGTGCGATAGTCCTCAGTCAAGGCCGAATCATCTGGTTTATAGGTGGTGTGAACGGCACCATGATGGCGGTTGAATTATCGGTCCATTTGTATGTTCCTTTTTCGTAAATGCGCACTTCATCTATGGGTAAACGGATTTTACTCCCAAAAAGCGCTTCCGCGGGTGAGTCGTTGTTTGACACATTTGGGTCAATATCTCACGGTAGCCTAACAAGAAGGTTTCAATAGTCTTCGCTGACGTTCCCTCCCCTTTACGTTTTTGAAGCGCTCGTTTGCAATTGTCGACAAAGCGTTCGACCTGTCCGTTAGACTGAGGATGGAATGGCGGTGATCTAACGTGGTGAACCCCATATTGCTGGCAAAACAAGGCAAAATCCGCCGAGGTAAATCCTCTGCCACCAATGTTCCTGGCGTGCCGTAAGTGGCAGAAGATTCGGGTGAGCTGCAAAACTGTGTAGCAGGAAGTCGTGTGATCCATCGTGATTACCTCCGGCCATTTACTGTAAGCGTCAACGATGATAAAGTAATACTGATTGTTAATTGGTCTAGCAAAATCAACATGTAAACACGACGAAGAGTTAGTTGGTGCAGGCCAATAAAATAACTCGGTCTTCCGTGGCGATTTTGCAGATCACTGACAGGACTGCACAAGTTCTTTGATATGTTTTTCCACACCCGGCCAGTATACATAACTGCGCGTCAAGGTTTTCATGCAGTTGATACGTGGGTGTTTAAAATGAAACCGTTTTAGTACCCGCGCTTGCTGTTTGGTTGGTTTTATAACACGTCCACCGAAGAGGACAACCATTGACCTCAGATAGAGAAAATCGTCTGTGCAATAATGACTGAATGTTTCGTATCACTGACGATGGCCAACGTTCGGTTGTAGTGTTGGCATACGGGGTCACATCTGGTTTCGTCCCAGACCATTACTGAAGTAACTGGAAGGGCTCGAATGGATGCAGCGGGGACAGTGCAAATTTCCGATTCGACAGAAATGGAATCCACAACCGTGTCTTCTACCGACTCTAGTTGTGAGTCCATCGGTCTTGATAAGGTGTCTGCCTGGCCGGTGGTATCTGTAGACTGGTATTTGATTGCAAAATTCTAGTCAAGGAAAATGGTCGCCCAGCGCTGGAGACGATTTGTAGTGTATACCGGAACGCATTTCTTCGAACCGAAAATGATGACAACCGGCTTGTGGTTGGTAAGGAGTGTGAACTGGCGACCGTAAATCATTTTGTGGAATTTCTTGACGGCAAATAAGATAGCCGGTGCTTCTTCTATTTGACTGTAATTGCGTTCATCTGGTTTCAAGATCGAGCTTCATGGGCGATGGCTTTTTCAGATCTATCAGGAAGTCTGTGGGAAATGAATGTTCCGATCCCATGATTGAATGCATCTGATACTAGGATGGTATCCATAGAGGGGCTGTAATGTGTAAGCAGCAGGTCCGATGACAGAAGTGATTTAACTTTATCAAAAGCTGATTGACACTGAGGTGACCAAATCCGGATGACATCCTTAAGAGATGGCTGAGGGAACCACGAACATGGTGCACATCTGGGTGATTTAATAGCCTAATGGAATTTATTCTATCACGTTGACAGTCTAGTTACTTGGGTGGGAAAAAACTTCAAGGAAGAAAACAAAGGACAACAGATGAAAATCGGCTATATTGCAGATGAATCAATTGAAGAAGGCTGCGGCTCAGTTGGCTACAACAGAGAAAATAAAATCTCAGTGAAATATTACAAAGGGTAGAATTGTTCGTCCTAACCATACAGGAAAGCCATACGGATCGCATCCGGCCAATTCAACGATCGACAGCTTCTAGTTAGAGAGCAGAGACGTGCAAGACGCAATGGTATCATCGGATCTGTTGGACCTGGAGACGGAGCTAGCTGAATCTGCTGCGACTGTAGTGTGGTGGTCGAATTGGTCCGGTCGGCCACCAGCGAGCACACTGATCCACCCGCTTATAAACTAACTCAAACATATCTAGTTTCTGACGTCATCAGACAGCTGAGACTATGACGGTAATAGAAGTAGCGTTTAGTGGTCATCATCGTATGGACAGAATCTTGGCTAATTCCAGAACATCCTAGGTTCTAGGTTCGTAATGCAGTTCGACTGCTAGGCTGCAATGCCCCGGCCTTGTGTCATAGGAACTAAACCTGCAATGGTACTGGGAGTCATCAGAGATAACAAGATCCATGTTGATACATGCTTCCCTGCTGTATCAGAAGTGACTTTCTACGCCATCTTCATATAAAATAAGCCGAATAATGACTAGTAATCACTGGCCATGTGCGTGTGTACAGGATGTCTGTGTGGTACGGGACAGCAGACACTCTGGCAAACGCTGTAAGCATTAATTGTTCTTTCCTGTCCACTGTCTTCATCTAAGAGAGTGACAAGTGACGCCTCACTTAGAGGCTCTGGTTTGATTGCCATCGTGGACGTCGTTTTCCACCGCCCTCAGTCCTATTTTATATGTTGCACTATATTATACTGTAGTGTTTTGAGTCTTGATGTGATGTATTCGATTTTGTTCCGTTCATGTGTATTGTGTCCGTCTGCAAAAGACCCACTTCCAATCTCCGGGTGTTCTGGAGTGATCCGAATGTTTGCGAACGCATTGGAGCCTAACAGCATGCAATCTAGAATTTATTGCGATCCGGTCAACCACAGCTGGTTAAGGGACTAGGTACGAACTAGTGATTACTACCTTAATTTTGTTCTATTTTCCGTATTTTTAGGCTTGATTTCGTACGTTCACTGGAAAGACCTGTAGGCTCCAGCCCAACGACTACGACCTTATCATTGACCATATATGTTTTGAGCGGTGTATCGTTTCATCGGTCCTATAAACGAGTTGTCATCAATTTGATGAATTCAGAATGACTGATTCTGCGCTGTTAGAAGTCAAAAGCAAAGTACGTTCTTTAACCTTTTTCCAGTTCTGTTGTATAGTTTGATGCGGAGTTCAGACGGTTCAGTATAAATCCTGCCGCACTGAAACAGTTTAATGAATTCTACGCCTCCCTAGAACAACTACACCACCTGCAAGGCATTCCGTTTGTTGTCCAGTATGTGGATCCAAAAAATTCCGACTTGTTGCCGATCAATAATGACAACAACTATGCTGTAGCACTTTCAGCCTCGAAACGACTGCTGCGTATACTGCTTCAGAGAAAAGGTATGCCTTTCTTACCCGCTTCAATTGACACGCACCTCAGGTGAGAGCTACGGGGAGTTATATGGTTACAAGTCCACTAAATCAACCCGTCCGCACAAAAGTGCCGCTAGTGTGCTCCGTTCCTACGCCAGTGTGGATAAACCGAAGGATCCAGCCCGAGCAATTATGATGAAAAATGACTTTCATCTTGTTTCCTCAATTCTGGATGTCGATATCGTCCCCAGGGAGCTACGCCGGTGAGTTTGTCTTTTTGGATATTTTCGTGCCATTGACCGAGAGTTCTCTGTTCCAGTCCATCTTAGTTGTTTGGTCGTCCTGTGCTTTCCCTTTGCGTACCAAAACTGAGGGCTTTGAGAATGTATGTGCAACATTTTTATCGTGTTACTGTTAGTTGACAGGGCGGGGCTCATAACTTGTCGCAGATAATCGACTAGACTGATGGCTATGACTCCGCCAACACCAATGAGGTGTGCCTCACCCAGTATAGTCAAACTTCCATAGTCCTCCCTTTAATGTTATTATTTCTTCCGTTATGTGATCCTTCAGACTGGTAAACCGGCTCTGTACACAGAGGCGTTTTTTTTTACAGAATCGATGCCTCAAAGCCACCTTTTTATCCGGCAGCAAATGCTCTCACGCTGCGAATGCAAATCTTCAAAGGATCTAGGTTGGGTCGTTATGACACTATATATATATATATATATATATATATATATATAATCTAGAATGAAAA